CAAGAGTTTGAGCTCTGAGCAACAGCGGTTCAAGGCCAGCCCGAGCTGAGCAGCCGCTAAGCTGCCAATAGGTAGCAGGATGGCTCAGCTAAAAAAAAACATACAGTGAATGTTTAAATAAAAAAATTATTACAGTAAAAGACATATTGCCATTCATCTCCCTCAAAATATCCTCCCCCCACCCCAGTTTGAACACACTTATTCCATCGTTCTTGCCACTTTCTTAAGCAGTTCTGGAAGTCCTCTTTCATGAGTGTCTTCAGTTGCACTGTTGTGGCTGCCTCGATGTCCTGAATCGATTCAAAATGTTTACCTTTCATGGCCATTTTGATTTTGAGGAAGAGCCAAAAATCGCACACTGCCAGATCCAGTGAATAAAGTGAATGAGGGCACACCGTAATGGTTTTATTTGACAGAAATTGCCATACAAGAAACGATGTGTGACACAGAGCATTGTCACAATGGAGGGTAATTGACGGCACACTTTAAAACATACTTTCTCTCAACCGTAGCTCACACCCGACTGACTGCACCGAACAAGTTGAAACTTGTCACACACTGTTATTAAGGTTCCACGTGCTGCTTCCTGTACTGAAGATCCCTGCCTTTCCATTGGATGGCACTCGGCAGCAGCATTCACAGTTTTTTTGTTCTTTTTTTAATCACACCTCATATATATGAAATGACCTATACCAGCAGTTATTTGTGTCTGAATTTAGACCCCGGACTGCTCTTATGGAAAGCAAGATGGCAAAGAGCAATGTAAGACAAAGGGAAAGGGTTTAACCCAGAGGTTGTCAAATTTTTTAGATTTTGTTTATTTTAATTTTCATTGGGGAACAGTGTGTTTTTTCCAGGACCCATCAGTTCCAAGTCAAGTTGTTATTTCAATCTAGTTGTGAGGGCACAGCTCAGCTCCAAGTCCTGCACAGCCCACCATCCCATGTGGGAATCGAACCGGCAACCTTGTTAAGAGCACATGCTCTAATCAACTGAGCCATCCAGCAGCCCACTAGATGTTGTCAAACTTTTTAAAGTCAAGTCACCAAATATTTTCAATTTAAAAAAAACTCCACAGCATCTGGACCACAAAGTTTTCATGTCTAGTTCATTCTAGGACACATGAATTTGCATATGCTGTTCCCTCTACCTAGAATGTCCTTGCACATTGAATCCATCTGGAAGTCTCTTGCTCTTCCGGCAAGGGGCTTGTTTATCTTTGTATCACAAGCATCTATCACTATTCCTGCCAGAAAGTAGGTACACAATGAATGTTTGTCACACTATTCCAACACAACAAATTTTATACCAATTTCTAGTTAAAAATCCCATATTAAAATAGCCATTTGTGACAACATGGATGAATCTTGAGATTATTATGCTAAGCGAAATACACCAGACAGAAAAAGTCTAGAACCATATGATCTCACTGATATGTGGTATGTAAAACTGAAAACAAAGGAACAAGACAAACAAAGAAACAAAAACTCATAGACACAGACAATAGTTTAGTGGTTACCAGAGTGTAAGGAAGGAGAGGGGTAGTAGATGAGGGTAAACGGGATCAAATATATGGTGATGGAAGGAGAACTGACTCTGGGTGGTGAACACACAATGTGATATATAGATGATCTATCACAGAATTGTACACCTGAAACCTAACGTAACTTTACTAATAGTTGTCACCCCAATAAACTTTAATTAAAAAAAAGTGGTGAGACAGGAAAAAAAAAGGGTAAGGATGTGGGAATAATAAATAACAAAGTGTATTTGGTTTAGAAGCTGTGGAAATTATTATAGCGTTGTCTTTTCATACTATTTTCCCAATGGTCATGGTTTTAAATAATAACATTAATAATACGCAATTCTCTATCTGTACATCACGAAACAAATTTTAATGATCCTTAATTTGTACTTGGGAATAAATGCACCACCATAGCATGAGGATGTAATTTGGAAGTAGAAGACAAGAAAGAAACTGGGTTTGGAAATAATATGCTCAGCCAAATTTGAATACATAATCGGTAGTTTCACAAAAACACCAAAAGCTTGACTTATACTGGCCAAATACTCCCTGGGAATGTAAGCACAGTTTGAAAAACCCTAGTCTAGACAACAATTGTTTACAGAGTTCACAGGAGGGGATATTCACTGTGGATCGGCATGGCCAGGAAGTATTTTATGGAGGAAGTGGGACTGAAATGGATCTTGAAGACTAATAGAAAAGGAGGGACAGTGTTTTAATTTGATGAAAGAGGTGAGGGTAGATGGCAGGTAGTGCTACAATAGGAGGGATGTAGGCAGAGTAGGAGACTAATTTGTGGAAGTCACAGGACAGTGGATAGCCAATGAAGAGTCTTAAACACCGAGCTACGAAGTTTATAATTTAGCATGTCAGCAGTGGAAAACTGGTGAAGACTTTTGAATCCATCAAAAGTATGTGGCAATCAAAAGCTTGTGTGAGAAAAAAAATCCTAAAAGAAATATGAGAAATGGACTGCTGAAGATGAGGTTAGAGGCAGGGAAACCAATTGCAGTGGTCCACGGCATAAAAATGAAGAAGAAAAACTGGATTTGCAAGATGTTCAGAAGGAAGAACCCGCCGGCCATCAACTTTCATTATGGTAACTCCACCTACTTCCATAAAGCATTTGATCCAAATCAACAGGACCTGATGACTAACAGGATGTGTGTG